TAAGTTTTATTTCTTAGACACTTAGCCCTTATCTAAAAAAAAGTTATTGCGATATTCTCCATTTAATATAGTTATTAAATTATTAAGAAACAACGATTTTTATAAGCACTACGTGTTCAGTGATATCAAGCAACGCGGGTATCATCTAGCTTAATATATTTTTTTCAAGGACATAAAACATCCTTCTAGTTTAAAAGATAATGAGAATGAACGTTTACAAAATGTAATAAATATTTTACTGCACAATGCGCTTAGTTTTCAAATTACATCCCATTTCATAGGTAACTATCGAAGAAGATAAAACTGGAGTTTATTTCAAAACGGTATATCAGAAAGTAAACGCAAGAAAACCGTATTAACGTTTATTCAATATTGAATTAGACTCGACAGCGCTAAAGCAATAAAGTGACTGAGTGACTTTGCCGTCAAACGTATGAGGACAAGATTACGAGGCAAGAATTTGAAAAGCACACTCGCAAGTGCTTGCTCTTCAATTTGTTAACAAGGTATTACAAATTATATAAAACTGCCATTGATGTTCCCTTTTGTTTACATTGTTTGAAGCAGATTGGCTGTGTTCGGACCCCACAAACATTTATGACTAGGGCCCGTGTCGGGCCCAATCGTGTCGCAGCGGCATACAATACAATGGCCAAGCCGTAGCGAGGCAATTCGCAAAATCGCCTGTCACCCTAACAAAAGCCCATTGAAAACAAAGGCACTTATCTATATTCTTTTAAATGGCTTTAAATGGACGCTACTTTGATCGAACTTAAGACAACAAAGAAATGAATTTATGTTTCCAAATCAAACGCATAATAAAATAAAGCGTTATAGGTATTTTAAAATAGATTAATAGAAACTGTCGCGAGAGCGCTAACGCTTCCTCCAAACAAATAAATATGCAGTGGTAGTTACGTGTGGGAAAGAGAAATTTGCAATTGTGAGACAGCTCGAGCCAATGCTGACCTCACGATTTCAATTGTCCATGCGAATTGTTACGAAGAAACTAAACGATGTCGCGAGCCAGGCAATTATAGCTTTAAATTCAAGGTCAGGAATGTTCCGGAAACATTATTTGATATTGCTGGGGTCAAAATCAGACCGAAGCAATAGTATTGTCCTACAATTGCTTAAAGACTATTGTTGGTTGGGACATTTCGTGATTTCCTAGGAAGTTACCGTTATGGAACATCGTTTAATTCAAACAAGGAATTCCAAATTGCAGAAGCAACAAATTTGACACTAGTTACTTTGTCACAGCGATACTAATCATAGGGAAACAGAGAACGAACAGGTGTTTGCAAGTTGATTTATAGCTACACAAGATTACTGTTTGACAATGCTCGGGACTATGAATTGATTGATGATTCTTTAAGCGAATACTACTCGGTGAAGTAACATAAAAATAGATAACTGTTTTTTACATTGCTAAATCATTGACTCCATGATGGCATTCAATAGTAATGAAGTAAATAGTTCTTCAATATTAAGGCGAGAATTACCTCACTTCTCCGTTGCATACATCATAAAAATGTAAGCTATGTTGTCAGTTTTTCGAGATATATGGCCAACATATTGCCTTTACTCTGGCTCTACTGCACATATCTAAGTTTATCACGCAGATAGACCCCGACCATAGTCCTCTCCATAGTTCGCTGAGCGACCATGAGCTTCCTCATACGGCCAGTAGTGCAGGACTACGTTTCAGATCACGCAGCGGTTGTTCAATCACATTTTTAAGTTTTGAGGTATACCTAACGAGAAGATGTGTCGTAATCTCCCGAACGCAGCCCAGCCGAGTTGAATCCGTCGATGGACCTCTCGGTCGAAGTTGGACTTACCTATTCGGACTATTTGTCCCAGGTAAACATACTCGTCAACAATACTGGTATTTGCCCAGCATTTTTTTTTATAGGATAAGGGTGACAAACGAGCACACAGTCCACATGATGGTAAGTGGTCGCTGTGGCCCATAGACATCTACATCTATCTTCGATTAAGAATGCAGATGCGTTATCACCCGTGAAGACTAGGATGGAATGCCTCGTTTCCAGTAAAAAGGGCCTCCGGTTCTCTACACTCACCATACGAAACACAGCAGCGTTAAGCTGCTATTTTACGCTGGTATTCTGTGAGAGCGTGGTCCTTCCCCGGTCGAGCCGACCCATTCGTGCTACAACCATAATATAGCTACAGCATGGCTCTGCCACGTAACAAAAAAAGCATGAAGTAAGCGTGCGACATTCGGTGGACAAAAAGTTACTTTATTTGAAACGCTATCAGGAAATAAAGGATCTAAAAATGTGGCCGATGAAGATTCTACTTCAGTAACATGTCTTTGAAGTAGAGTTAGGCCGACTATGACATTGGCCGACTAGACGACTGGCCTTGTAAAAAGGCCGACTAGTTGACGGACTAGTCGGTCAAGCCGATGATCGCTTTCATTGGCGGACTTCTGGTGATATCGACAATCCCCATGGCGCTTTCTTGTCAGCTGAGTTGAGTCAGTTGACTAGTAGAGTCGGAATAGTTCAAGAAATCCCGAAATGTCGCGTCTTGCTAAAGTGTACCTTTGTTGTCCAGGTATTTCCGTGTATAGCGAGACAATTTTCTCCGAAGCTAGTAATATATACGAAACCAATAGAAATAGATTGCTGCCAGAAAGAGTAGTCTGGTGTTTTTACACTACAATTTGCTTTTAATAAAGAATTATAAATACATTTATATTGTAAAATATGAATAAAATAATAGGCCGACTAATCCGCGCTTTTTGCCGACTAATCGCAGACTAGTCGCCGACTATAAATATAGCTGACTAATCGGTAGTACATCTCTACTTTTAAGAAATTTTAAGTGCTCATTTACCACGTGCTCGGCGGTACAGGAAAACATCGTGGTGAAAACCGAACCTTGCCCTAAAACCGTTTCAGATATGAGAGGAGGCCTGTGGCCAGCAGTGGGACGTATATAGGCTGTAACTTTTGTAATAAGCTATTGTGTAAGTGGTGATTATGAATGTTAACATAGAGAACAATAAGATCCTTTAGAATTATTTAATTAAATAAATCCATAAAATACGGAGGTATAGCGTATAGCAACCATTAACTGTAAGGCAAGCGCCACATAAATCTCGCGTCCGGCCGCCTAGAATTTCATCTTCGACTGGCCGCATCCACATGGTTAATTGTTAGTTATTTATCGGCAGCCTCTTTGGTCTAGTGGAAGTAAGCGTGACTGCTGATAATGAGGTTACGGGATCGAATACCGGGTCGGTAAAACCAATTTTTAGGCCTTTCTGTCAAGATATTTTCGTTATTAATTATCGGATTATAAGGTTCCTGCGCAGATGGCTAGTCTGCGTTAAAAGGCCGCCGTGACCGATATTCGGTTTGGAGGACATTATAATTCTTTACCGCAGCAACAAGCAACAGTTTAATGCAATACAGAGTATTGTCGAGAGACTTTTAGCATAAAGTAGAATCAAAACAGCGAATGACGGAACATAGAGATTCAATTACCGAAACAGGTCAAGAACTCAATTTGTTCAATGAATCACAGTGATCTTTGTCTCACAACTTGTGCGTATAGTGTTAGGAGCATAGTAGCGCGTAATTTATTCACTTTACTAGGTGTCATTTCTTTTGGGTAAAAATCTCATTCGGAGCAATACATTTTGTAAATAAATTTAAGCTATTGGGGCATAAAACACCTTTGATTTTCATAAGAATAGATTGATTGATTCATTCATTACATCCCATCAAAAGTCATAGATTGCCTGAAAATCTCCATTTGAAGTTCTTGCCGCGCTTTGCTGTCATTTTAGGATTCTTTCCGTTTACAAACAAAATTTCATCGTAACTTTTTTACGTGGTAGAGCCTCGTTGCAGCTATATTATGGTTGTAGCACGAATAGGTCGGTTCCACCGGGGAAAGACCACACTCTCACAGATATCAGCGTAAAATAGCAGCTCAATGCTGCTGTGTTTCGTTTGGTGAGTGTATAGTACCGGAAACTCCTTTTACTGGAAACGAGGCATTCCATCTTAGTCCTCAACGTTGAATATATATATCAGTGTAAAATAAAGTTATAAGTTTAGTTTATAATATATGCAGAAATTAGTCCGTCGCACTCTCCAGAACGCGTTGGTGATCACATCATACTCGAATTATTTCATTCTTCAGATGTGAATATTTTCTTTACCACTGAGCACATAGTAAATTAGCATTTAAAATTGCAATTCAAATGTTTATTAGTACCGTGTGTAGTGGTTGAAGTTACTTTGCTAGCGGACTGTGGAATCAACGGCAAGCACTTAGCCTCTGAGTAGCAATAGCTTATAAATGTAGTGAGTACGGGCAAATTTCTTTGAGCTGGCACATTCTAAGAGTGGACAGTAGAATTAAAAAGGCTAGTGAGATTATAAATTGTTGATATTTGAGTATGGACATGTTGTAATTTTCGCTATCTCCTGATGATGCATCCGGGCATTCCTTTAACCTAGGATAGGTTCGGATCGGACTAGTGATGTTTTTCTTTTATATAGTATAGGGTGACAAACGAGCACACAGTCCACCTGATGTTAAGTGATTGCTGTGGCCCATAGACATCTACATTTATCCTCGTTTGCGAATCAAAATGCAGATGCCTTGTCACCCGTGAGGTCTAAGATGGAATGCCTCTTTTCCAGTAAAAAGGGTCTCCGGTTCTCTACACTCACCATACGAAACACAGCAGTGTTAAGCTGTTATTTGACGCTGGTATTCTGTGAGAGCGTGGTCCTTCCCCGGTTGAGCCGACCTATTCGTGCTACAACTATACTACTAATATAGCTGCGGCATATTAGTAGTACTACCACGTAAAAACTGATGTATCGGTATTTGAGCGCACAATATGATGAACAAATAGCCCTGCACAGTTGACAGCTCCTGCAATATTCAGAAATTGCCGCCTTTGTTACTACTATATTAGAATATAAACATTGAGAATGGGTACTTACGAGTGGTCTTTAAGTATCGCCTCGAGTCGTCCTGTATGCGTGTTCCAAACGTATACTGATCCATCAGCGGCGCCAACAGCGAGCAGCCGCCCGGCCGGCCCGAAAGCCGCCCTCGACCAGTCACAGCCCACTTTGAACGACTCGTGGCTGAAATGAGCACCCTAATTAAACCGATGTTCACATTTAAGAATAATTAAGATACTATCAATTTTGGTAATCCCAAAAAATGTAGATTAGGAAATTTGTTAAAGCATGGTAAATGATATAATATAGCTGTTGACTGTACAGGTCGGTGTTTTCTAATTACAATACTCAAAATTGCAATTTGTAAAAATAATATTGTAATGATAACATTAACATCAATGTAACCTTTTGAAATAAATTTAAAATTTGTAGCACGAATGAGTCGGCTCGACCGGGGAAGGACCACGCTCTCACAGAATACCAGCGTAAAATAGCAGCTCAACGCTGCTGTGTTTCGCATGGTGAGTGTAGAGAACCGGAGACTCTTACTGGAAACGAGGCATTCTATCTTAGTCCTCACGGGTGACGACGCATCTGCATTTTGATTCGTAATCGTAGATAGATGTAGGAGTCTAAGGGCCACAGCAACCACTTACCATCAGCTGGACTGTGTGCTCGTTTGTCACCCTTATCCTATAAAAAAAACAACCAATACCACGATCGGCAACGGGGAGCAGCGACATGTTTCAACACACCTGGTATCGCGTTCTGTGTGTGTGACTAATCCTCGTAAGGTCCATTCCACTCTATTCATCCGACGTAAAGTGCATTTCGCACATACAGTTATAATTTATAAAAACTACTTTAAATACATTTTTAACGCATGAATACATAATAGTTTTATTGCTGCATAAAACCAGTGAACAGCGTCATCATTTTTCAGAACGGATACGAGAGGAAAGGATTATTTTGAAATAAGCCAGTTAAAAATTTATGTAGATTTGAAACACCGCTATAAAATAATGGTAGACGAATAATCAATTATGTTTATTACTATTGAGCGACTATGAATAAATTAAAATATCGAAATTTATTTTCTTTGATTTAATTAAGGCGAGGTGTTGAAATGTTATTAGTACCTATTAGAATTGATAAAATTTATGGATTTTATTAAAATTTTAGCACAATATGTAAAAATACCTGAACGATCGAACAATTGTATTCATCCGCAAATCTATTAATTGTATTGTGTCGTCTCTCACACACGCCAGTAAATAATTGCTGTCTGAAACAAAGAAAAAAACAAATATAATAGCACTTAATAAATGAGTTTATAGATATATTATAAAGATAAGCGTAGGGTAAAAATTATCAGTTGGTTAAACGTGCAGAGATATGCATTGATGGTATATTATAATAGTGAATTCAATGAATTTATTTAAAATATGTGTTTATATACATATAATATATTTTGTGTATGTGTGTAGATTTTATAGTATATAAGTGTATTGTATTTCTGTTAATATATATAATAATAATAATAATAACCCCCGCATGGGATCACCTTGTCGTGGTGGGGGGGCTTAAGGGAAAGGCATGTACTTAACTGTAGTCAGAACAACTACACTGTGTAGCAATAATAAGCCAGGGTTATCTATCTGCCTATTAATATTTAAAGACCCTTTTCCAAACTAACGATCCCAAACCAGGCTGAACAAAAATATGAGTGCACGACGTAAACTACGGCCCCCAGTTCCCGGCAGATCCAGTAACCATATCGACTCTGACGGAAGCCGAGATGGTGCTGTGTCTTGGGGCGCATACAATCTCCGGGCGAGGAAGATTTCCCGTCAAACGACTCAAGCTATATCTTCGGACACCGATACTCTTAGTGATACTGATAGTTTATATACCCCCGAAAATGATGGGCAGAAATCAAAGCCATACACTTTACACCAGTCTTTACCTTCCTCATCATCATCAAGTAGACAATTGCTGAAGGATGATGCACAGAATATAACTTCTGTTATGGAACCTGTGCCCACCATCAGTAAACGTAATACGCGTAAGAAATGGACTTCTGAAATGAATGAATTCATATTGCGTACTTACCTCTATTTAACAATGATGGAGACTGACACTAAAGGTTATTTACAACCATTACACATGAAATTCATAGAACGATTCCCAGATATGCAGGTAACTCGTCAAAGATTAGGAGATCAGCGTAGAGCAATAATAAATAATAAACTTTTGTCCCAAGAAATAGTTAACAAAATTTATATTGAAGTGCAATCAAACTTACAGACTACATTTCCCCAATCCATCTCTGTTACACAGAACAATCATCATACTAATACCCACCGTTTACAAACACAACAACGTATGAAATGGACAGACGAATACAATGAAGCTATAATAAGAATTTACTATAAAATAACTCAGTTTGAGAAAAATAAAATAGCATATAGGAAACTCTTACACCAAGAGTTTATAAAACAATTCCCCCATTTAACTCATTTGACAGAGCAACGGATCGCTGACCAAAGACGATTAATTTTACAGAACAAATATTTAAGTGTTGACCGCTTAGAATTAATTAAGAATGACTTGCAAAAACAACATAACGTTATACAAGCCAATGACAACTCAATGCTTCAGATAAGTATCTCAAACAACGAAGAAACAAATACAGAAAGTTTACATTTAAATGCAGAAAACCACACAGAAAATGAAAATGAAAATTTAAATTACAGAGAAAAGATAATTGCTATAGATGAAATGTTTGCAAAAGCTTTAGAATTTTATGCTAATACAAAACCAACTGAAAGGCAATTTATACCAAAGCAGAGGTCATCAAAAAAATTAAGTAAGATAGTAGCCTATGTGAATAATATTTTGTTGCCAGAATACATTAACAGCGATATTGAATTTAAAACATTTCAGGATTTAGTATACTGTGCAGCGTGGACTTCAGCTAAGCTCAACGGAGCTAAAATTGAAATACCTGTACAAGTTGATAACCCTCTAGGAAAGGGCAAACAAAAGAAATATAATAAACCAAAGTGGGAACAAAGATTAGAATACAAAGTTAGTGAATTAAGAGCAAAGATTGCAAGACTAACACAATATATCAATGGAAACAGAGGTAATAAACTAATTAAACACGTAAATGCTATATTTGAGCAATATAAAACTCATTCCGTCCACGAAGAACATAACATTAAACACGAACACTTTTTAGACACACTTAAACAAAAACTTAAACTTACTAGTAGTCGGTTAAAAAGATATAAAGCATGCTCTCTACGAAAAAGTCAAAACAGGCTATTTTGTTCAAATGAAAAGCTTTTCTACCGAAATATAAAAAACACTGTATCAAATAAAATCAGCAACTCAAAAGATTCCGAAAATAATTTTCCCTTACCTAGAGAATTACAAAATTATTGGTCTACTATATGGGTTGAACCTAAACATTATAATACAGAAGCGGATTGGATCAAAAATCAAATAGACACATCACAGATAAAACCCATGCAATTTCAACACATCAAAATAGACACTTTCCAAAAAGTAATTAAAAAACTGCATAATTGGAAATCACCTGGATCAGATAATATACATAACTATTGGTATAAGAAGTTCACAACAGCCCACCCGATTCTGTTTAATTTTGTAAATAAATTCATAGAAAGCCCGCATACCATGCCGCAATACATTACTTCAGGAATAACGTATATGATACCAAAAGATCCTAGCAATCTTGACAACCCTGCAAAATACAGACCTATCACATGTTTACAGACATTGTACAAAATAATTACATCTTGCTTAACCGAAACCATTTATGAACATATAGAGACTAACAACATATTGTCAGAAGAACAAAAAGGCTGTCGGAAATTTAGTCAGGGTTGCAAAGAACAACTAACAATAGATGCAGTAATTTTAAAACAGGTACAACTAAAAAGAAAAGATTTATTTAGCATGTACATTGATTATAAGAAAGCTTATGACTCAATCCCGCACACTTGGTTATTAAACATTTTAGAAATATATAAAATACACCCAAACATAATACAATTCTTACAAGCTGCCATGACCAATTGGACAACGAAACTTAAACTTGACACACTAGATGGCATGATAGAAACAGACTATATTAGAATACGGAGAGGCATATTTCAAGGAGATGCACTTAGTCCTCTCTGGTTCTGCCTTGCAATAAACCCCTTATCAAAAATGTTAAACTCAAAAAATATAGGTTACCCGTTACAATACCATACAACACAAGATCATCTACATACAAATAAACAAGAAAAAAAACTTAGTCATCTTCTGTATATGGACGATCTTAAGCTATACGCTACTAATCAAGATGAATTAGACCAGTTAGTTAAATTAACGGAAACATTCTCACGGGATATTGGAATGGAATTTGGTATTGATAAGTGCAACATCAATTCGGTTAGAGCTGGACAGCATTATGAACACAATCACCAATTGCAAACAGGACAGCAAATCAAATTTTTAGAAGAGAATGGAGTGTATAAGTATTTAGGATATAATCAGTCGAAACAAATTCACCACAAAGAAATTAAAAATACATTAACAGATGAGTTCCGATATAGACTTCGCTTAGTATTAACATCTCAATTAAATTCTAAAAATATATTTAAAGCTATTAACACATTTGCAATTCCTATACTAACTTATTCTTTTGGCATAATACACTGGTCCAAAACTGAACTGAAACAACTACAACGCACAATTAATACATCTCTTACGAAGCACCGTAAACACCATCCAAGATCGTGCATACAAAGACTAACATTACCACGAAATGAAGGAGGAAGAGGTGTAATAGACATAGTTAACTTACATAACAGACAAATAACAACACTCAGAAATTACTTTTATCATAAAACTAAAATATCAACACTACACAATGCTATAGTACAGAACGATCATAAATTGACACCGCTTAATATGTATGATAAAACATTGCAAAAAAATGAGGTACTTACAGATAATAACACAAAAATTGACATATGGACTCAAAAATCTCTACATGGAAGACATCGCCAAGAGTTGAACCAACCTACCGTAGACAAATTAGCGTCGAACGCATGGCTTCAACGTGGTGAGTTTTTCCCTGAGACTGAGGGTTTTATGTGTGCAATTCAGGACCAAGTCATAGAAACACGTAATTATCAAAAGCACATCATTAAAATAAAAAATCTCCACGCCGACACTTGTAGACATTGTTTTAATGCTTCAGAAACAATCCAACACATCACTGGTGCTTGTAAAGCGATCGTTCAGACAGATTATAAGTATCGGCATGATCAAGTAGCGAATATCATTCACCAGAAACTTGCCCTTAAGTGGAAACTAACTGACCAACCTATTCAAGTATACTATAAATATAAACCTGAAATAGTCCTTGAAAATACCACTCACAAAATGTATTTTGACAGAGCTATACTTACTGACAAAACAATACACTATAATAGACCGGATATAACATTAATAGACAAAGTGAATAAATCTGCTTTTATTATTGATATTGCTATACCTAATTCACATAACTTACAGACTACAATTAATGAAAAAATTTCCAAATACATTGATTTAAAACATGAAATTATTAGAATGTGGGGCTTACATAATGCCATTATAGTACCTATAGTCCTCTCTACAACTGGAGTCATACCAAAAGCGCTTCATCAATCATTAAAAACTCTTGATCTACCAAAACTTACATATATTCAATTGCAAAAAGCAGTTTTACTTAATACTTGTAGAATAGTTAGAAAATTTATCTCAACAGATAACTACCCATAACCAAACACGTTCATGGTACCCACTTGGCTTAGTCCCGTGGTAGTAACCATTAATCCAGCTTTGTTGAAAACAAACTGAGAAAACGTAAACACTTTAAATAAAAAAAATAATAATAATAATATTCCACAACTATCAAACAACGCCATCTAGTCCCAAGCTAAGCAGAGCTTGTGTTATGGGTACTAGACAACTGATAAACATACTTATATATTTCTAAATACATAAATATTATAGATAAATTACACCCAGACACAGAACAAATGATCGTGCTCATCACACAAACATTTGTCCTGGGTGGGAATCGAACCCACGACCTCCGGCGTAGCAGTCAGGGTCACTAACCACTAGACCAACAGGCCAGTCAATATAAAAAAAAAATATAATATTAGTCTATTTTTAATTTTATTAATACGTTTAATATTGATAGTATTTTCTTCTCATTTACTATAATGTTCGTTATATTTTATGCACCTAACACATTATTTTCCTCACATGCCAGTTGGCTTGGCATTTAGTCCGTCATTAGTAATCATTCTTATGGCGTATAATAAATTATAAATAAATTTATGTGCCTAAATAATAATGTTAATCGATCTGATAACGGGTGTGAGGGAGAACTTATCTCTAAATGCAATTTCACCATGCATGACGGATTGACGAACGAGAATTGAGAACGAAAAAAACAATCAAAACACTCACTTTACTTGCTGTTGATAATGTAAACAGGGCGATGGTATTAACTAAGAATTTACAAATTAATTACACTATTTATTTTGATCACTATTTCTATAGGTTACATTTGTCTTGCAACACAATTATGTACTCTATGCACCTGTTCTATAGCTTATATTATAATTATTCATTTTAAAACACTTTTTAATTTTTGTTAAGTTATGCGATAACGAACAAACGAAACATTATAATATAATAATAACGTTTTGAAATAGATCCGTTATTTTATTAATGTATAAGCATTTAGGACTTGTCGCCTACTTAAAACCGAAGCCTGACAGGCACGTCATAAAATAAATTTATGCGTTGAATAACGGACACTTAAAATTATTTACGATTAAGATGGAAGAAAGATTGCAAAATTATACGGATTCGATTCTGGTGATTTGTCTTGCAGGTAACGTACCCGGCCCGTATTATTATTACATTATCTAGCTTTGCTATGCTCGCAGAAAGATTTAACCTCTGACGATATAAGGTAAAATGCTGTTGCCATTACCATGATCGTAGAATATAATGGTGTTTTATTAAATTAAGTGGGTATTGAGTACACGGAGGCATCATGGTCTCATTAGAGGTCGGCCATTCGAACAGTATTCGTGATGAGGTTAAACAATAACCGGCAGATATGTTCCCACCATTATTCGTTTAAAATCACTTTAAACATGTCCGCAATAAGCGATTAGAAAAGTTAGGATTTCACGCTGAGCGCCGCGATGGCGATCTGGCCCATTACTTTAAAGAATCCTCGTAATAGATAATATTGATGGATTCGGATCGAGCGTGACGTCTAACTGTGATTCAGCTCCCTATTCATTTGTCCATCGCACCGGCCGTAGTCGGTGGCGACGAAATCGACGTGATTTAATCAGTTTTCTGAGGTAGTGACGTCCCGATACTCCGATTGATTGAAGGTATCAATCTCGCCGTTTCGTGCGCCGGACGGACCGTTACTGACAAAAAAGGGATTGATCGAGACACGCGTAACGGAAATGGGCATCGTACACCCGTCACGTTGTTGTACTGACACGAATACCGATACTAATAGATATGCTATGCATTCAATTATCTGTGAATATTAGTTTTGAAATTACGGAAATTAACGAGTTCGAAATATGTTTGGAAAAAAAAATTAAACTGCTAGAAAGCATAGTGTTGAAAAGAAATAAAATATAAAAAATACTGAAGACTGTAGGATTTCGTAAAATTTGTAACGTTTTTCAGGGCACATAGATCTTTGAAGAGAATAGAACGTAGATTACAAACCGTGCAGAATATCTCTTAAATAGCTTACAAGTTCGCATTACTAAGTCATTTACAACATTACGAGATAATTTGCAGTGTACTAGCAGCGTAAGAGAATCCTAAGTTAGGCTACCGCATGTCATCCCGTGGGTGCCGTAAGAGACGATAGAGGGTAATAGGAACAGAAGATGGGACGCAACATCTCCTACATATTAATTAATATTTCAAATATCCTCTCTATGAGGCAATCAACGGAGGAGGCTTAAGCTCAGCTGAGAACTTTGACGGGCTGTAATGAATGAATGAATGAATGAAATGTGAGGTAATTATGTTCCTTACCTCTACTTAAATCGAGTGAAGTGACCTTGCCTTGCAGCATGATATGATTGGCCGACATTTCAGTGCGTATGTCCCAAAATCTGATGCGTTTATCGAAGTGCCCAGAAATTATGGTGGAGCCAGCGCCGTCTGACGTCACGAGGTCGTTGCATGACGAACCAGCAAACTTTGTTTCTGTACCTAAGGGAGATTTTAAATTATCTTTTTAATGAAATAAAGAACATTTTACATATTGATTATAGACAAGAAATTGACAAAAAACTATTATATCCCCAGTTAAAGAACATGAGTTTATATGTGTTCAAAATTTGTAAAATATATTTTTGAGAAGTAGAAATAACTATAATATATTATTGTATATCAAAGTACTAAATTCCAATAACACAAATAAAACTACTTCCATAAAGTTGTATATCATTTTATGTTATATTAAGTGTTTTATAAAAGGTATAGGAAAGCAGATCTTTTATGGATACTATTTTAAGTGCTGGTTTTATTTCTTTTAACGGACCCTATACTCGAGAAGTAATTATAGGATAGTAACCATGAGATTGCATGTTATACTTCCTTACGTTTATAATAAAACAAAAATAAAACAATATTTATTATTATACAAAAGAGATAAACGAACTGATAGTCTACCTGATAATAAATGACTACTGCAGTTCATGGTCACCTGCAAACATTGTTTATACGTGGTAGAGTCATACTGCAGCTATATTGGTAGTATAATTGTAGCACAAATGGGTCGGCTCGACCGGGGAAGGAACACGCTCTCACAGAATACCAGCGTAAAATAGCAGCTCAACTGCTGTGTTTCGTATGGTGAGTGTAAAGAAAGAACCGGAGACCATTTTTTCTGGAAGCGAGGCATTCCGTCTTAGTTCTCACGATAGATGTAGATGTCTATAGGCCATAGAATACATTTACCATCAGGTGGACTGTGTGCTCATTTGTCACCCTTAACCTATAAAAGAAAACAACTTCAAACAAATAATGCGACAGAAGCGTTGCGACTAAGATAGAATGCCTTCCATCCTGTAATTAATCTGGCTTTCTATACACAACAGACTGGAAAACAGAAGTGCAAGCACTGCTGTTTGGCGGTAGAAATTGGTAATAGGGTGACTTACCGCCTAGTCAGCCTAGTTCATAGTAACAAGGATGGAAAAAGATTATTCTTTGCAGTATAGACAAAAGCACAATTAAGTAGTGATCCGGTTAACACTGCTTCACATCTAGGAATCTATATTTTATGTACAATTTTTAGTTTTATCTTTAAAACCAGTATTTTACTGCAATCTCCACAGAACCAGCGCATACAGTTCTTTTCTGCAACTGCTTAATATTATGTAGAATAGTTGATGTCTATTAGTTAGAATCTAGAATATTTTTTGATGATCCGACGCAGCAAGCAACACTTTTTATGTTTATCTATATATTACGTGAAAGGAAAATTGCGTACCACTTTTCAAGCATATTGCGTCCGGAGGAATGTGAATTTTATACGGCGGAGTACAGAAAGCTAAAATTTATATATAATCGTAATATATGTTACAAATAGACGAAAATAAATAAAACAAGACGTTCATATTGCCCATAGACTTGTATCATAATAATACCAATGTCAAACACATAATAGTCTGAGGTAAAACAGTTGCACAGAGTAGATTTTCACCAATGAATTTTGGAATGTTACTTAGAAATAATTTTATATAACTCATGCATAAAAAAATTACTAAATGAGATTCGAATTTTGTCATGCAAAATATTTAATCACGCAAGTTTTGAATATTTTTTCAGTATTATGTAAAAATTTAATGGTATTTCATATTCCAAGTTTCTCATTTTTATTTTGTCAGTACCTACTGGGAAGTTTATAGTATGAAGCTGGGGTAGAAATCATTATTATTTTATTTTATTATCATATAATATATTTATAAATTGAGTTTAACTGCATATCACAATGCATATTATAAGATCCAAATGAAAATAAATAAGTAAGGAACGGTTTTTAAAGTTTCGGCTACTTTTAATATTTATCGATCATAAATACTTTTACCGTCTCGTCATCTCGGACTGGTGATTAATAGTAGATAAGTAATTAATACTGATGTTTGAACAGTTTTCAATTAAACCCGCCAAATATTTCGTGGTTAGCGAAAGCTAGTATGTAACTAATACAGAAATATAGTACTATTACTTTATTATTCATATATTATTAATTTGAATGGGTAGGACAAATTTAATGTTCCCGTGGTGTGAAAGTGGTGCATTCGTAGGCTCTATTATTAGAGAAGCGGACGATGGCGGAAAACAATAACTACAAGAGAAAGTGAATTTGAAGCTCAAACGGGAAAAAACCATTTCCTTTATTTTCTTTCCGATTAGGTTGATCGTTACGAATTACGATTCTTTTTATAAGATGGGTGTCATAATTTTCGATTTTAATACTAAAAGTAGAAAAGCGTTTGCTTTTTAATTTCTAGATTACTAAAACATTGCAATTTATGTTAGGTAACCTAAGCCAGGGAAATAAATTGCTCAACAATTAGTTTTCGTTTGATTCAAAACTGACGACCGTTGATACGCAATATATATTGTTTAGTATAAAAGTATAAAATAACAATATATGCCGGACCTATGACATATGTACCATATGATGATGATGTTGTTGTTGATGATGATAATATGATTATTAATTATAGTTTTTTTTTAATTATTTCAAGTAAACTTTACGTTCAGTAATAAAATAACTTACACATTCTACTTCTCAAATCCCAAATTTTAAGTGTTCGGTCGTGACTGCCAGTGATGACTTTGGTAGGTTCTTCTAGAAATTTAGCCGCCATTACTTTGCCACTGTGACCAGTCAATGTGTGCTGTAACAAAATAAACTTTAATCTTAAAAAAATCTTATTTATACTGAGAATCTGATTGGCTCGTTGGTGTAGAGGTCTTAAGCGCAACTGATTTTTGCATTCGCTTCTGCTCGCTTGCCGCTCGTTGACGCTTGCGGGTACGGATCCCGGTCGAGCCAAAAAAGAGTTTCTGTTAAGAGGTTCTTGTTGTAGTGGAGCACACATTCCACCTATTTTTGGGTTAGCGGAAAAACAAATTGGAAGAAACAGCCATAGGACCCAAAGCTCCTCTGATAGTTACATGCCTCTTCACATTTCTGAGAGGGTCACGGCTAATGAAGCAGGAATGAAATGCCTATTTGCTCGCTCAAACACGTATGATCCTCACAATTAATTAATTTATCGTTAAGTTGAGAGGTCAATACATCCTTAGGTTGCAATTAACAATAAGCTTAAATCAAAACACAGGAAAACATTATCCCTCTAGTTTGTCTCATTGATTATTGGGTTTATTAAGGGCTGTGAAGCCCTTCACAAATCCACTACGGAACTTAGGCCTACCTCAAGGAATGCCACAATAAACGCTCCTAAGCCATTTGCATTCATCGACTTCCTGTATGTTTTCGCAGGTCGTCACTCTATCTAGTGGTGGGCCGTCCTCCACTCAACTTGCAGGTACGAGACTACCGATCTAGAACCTTTCTTTCCTATCGATTGTTAGCTCAATACTTCAATAGTGTCACCCAATGGATAAGTCTTAATCTTAACCTTTACGCTTGGAAACGGATTGGCGCTCTGCACGCACAAATATGAACTAATTCGAATTTTGTTTCAGCAATATTTTAAAGAATACTTTGCATCCCCTCAAAATTCACATTTAATTTTATTTGATTTAACTCCTGTAATACGTGTGTAATCTGTGTTTCGTGTTTCATGCAATCGATGCATCTTACTTTAGTCCTCAAGAGTGATAAGGCATCATCATTTTGATATTTATATTATTTTAAACGTGGTAGAGCCATGCTGCAGCAATATTAATTGTATAGTTGCAGCATGAATGGGTCAGCTCGACCGGGAAAGGACCACGCTCTTACAGAATACCAACGTAAAATAGCAGCTTAATGCTGCTATGTTTTGTATGGTGAGTGTAGAGAACCGGAGACTCTTATTACTGGAAAAGATACATTAAATCTTAGTCCTCACAGCTGACAACGTATCTGCATTTTGATTCGCAAACGAGGATAGGTGTTGAAGTCTAAGGGCCACATCAACCACTTACCATCAGGTAAACTGTGTGCTCGCTTATCACCCTTTTCCTATAAAGTAAGTTATTTAATCGCTATAAATCCGTTGAAAATAGTTTCATTCAATCTCAATTAGTCGGTTTAGTTGAATACACATTCCTGATTTTGTTAAAATAATATTTATAAATGTTACCAAAAGATAACACAATTAGAAAGTTCGATTTCATTTTAAGAAAGATTGTGGTCAAATTAAAATTCAGCAAATGGCATTATCAAAACGATAAAAAGCAGAGTCCATTTCAATATATTCTTGACACATTGGTTTCATAAGAATATTTATTTTTCTATAACGATGAAGAATAATTTACGTTTTAGCATGTCAGAAATCAAGACAAATTATAAACAAGTGTCTAAAACTTGTTTTCACCCGCTGTAAGCAAGACATTTAATAATTATTTACGGGATGTAAACGATTGTGGGAAACAAATAAAAATAGTAGCGCATCGAAACTTCGAAACTCGTTCTCTAAACGTGAGAGATTCGTTTCAGTTCGTTGTAGGGTTTAAAAGAGGAGATAAGTTATGAAATGCGAGTTGGGCTACCGCCAGTGCCGACCAACGCTGATAGCCATTTACACTTAGCTCCCGGCTTCCACGATGAACGATTATTGTGCTCTGTTCACGGCATCGTGATCTCTTCACTCAGTAGCAGTAAGCCACCGACGCGAAACCTCACGAATTGTCTCGTTATGTGCCGCTTATTTGCATTCAAAGGGTCTATTAATTTAATCAGACGACATGTCGCGTTAAAGCGTTGAGGCGGTGCATTACAAATACATGCGATCGGCTTTAAGAGTTTATATGCTGAAAGAAATTACACGGCTGAAATTAAGAGACATTTTCGCTTGCGACAAAAACCTTTTATCAGTTACAGTACGTGGGATGTGATGCTTTGAAGCAGGTTCAAAGTGCAAATGAGGTTTTTATAATTTAAATCACAAATCAATAACGAAAGTTTATTCATTTAAATTTGTTTTCTACAGTAAAAATAAATAAGGTAATAGAATAAGGTGACAAACGAGAACACAGTCCACCTGCACGGCTAGCGTGGGCTGGGGACAAAAAATTTATCCCCCGACTGTATCCACTGACAAGAGATAATACTGTATCTTGTCCTTATGCCAAAGTACGACAACGGGAAGAAGTATATCCCCGTTTGACATAACGAGTAGACATGTATGGAATCAATTATTAACTGCCTGCTCATGCGGGACCTTGAGGATCACCAGCTGATTAGTGACCGCCAATACGGTTTTCGTCGGGGTCGATCAGCTGGTGATCTTCTGGTCTACCTGACCCATAGATGGGCAGAGGCAGTAGAGTCCAAGGGGGAGGCGTTGGCCGTTAGTTTGGACATTGCGAAGGCTTTCGATCGGGTTTGGCACAAAGCCCTTCTGTCGAAGCTTCCTTCCTATGGGCTTCCCGAGAAATTGTGCGATTGGATCACCAGCTTCCTTGCAGATCGGAGCATCAAGGTCGTTGTAGACGGTGCATGCTGCGACTACAAGCCTATTAACGCTGGTGTTCCACAAGGCTGTGTGCTACCACCAACGCTGTTTCTTCTGCATATCAATGATATGTTTATGTTGGTGATGCTCTATACACCGGCCGTGCCAATATTTCTCGGAAAAACGTCGCCAAGTACCGGAACAAACTTGTGTTTGAAGTCGAGTCTTTGCTGAACAAAGTCTCGGATTGGGGGCGACTAAATCTAGTCCAGTTTAATCGTCAGAAGACACAAGTTTGCGCGTTTACCGCTAAAACGAACCCCTTTGTCGTATCTCCTCAGTTTCAAGGCACTTCTTGCCTCAGCCAGTATCGGAATCCTCGGAGTCGACATATCGAGTGATGTGCAGTTTCGTGGTTACTTGGAAGAGAAGGCCAAATTGGCCTCAAAAAAGCTTGGCGTACTCAGCAGAGCGGGACAGTATTTCATGCCGGCACAACGCCTGCAACTTTACAAGGCGCAGGTTCGGCCTCACATGGAATACTGTTCCCATCTCTGGGCAGGGGCTCCCCAGTGCCAGCTCCTTCCACTTGAACGCATCCAGCGCAGAGCGGCTCGAATCTTCGACGACCGAGTCCTTTCCGATCGGCTCGATTCATTGGCACTGCGAAGAGATGTTGCATCCCTTTGCATTTTCTTTCGCATCTACCACGGGGCGTGCTCTGGGGAATTGTTCGGATTAATCCCAGCCGCCAAATTTCACGAACGCACATCGCGGCAGAACTTCCGATACCATCCACACCATCTGGATGATTGGCGGTCCACCACTGTGCGATTTAGAAGATGTTTTCTTCCTCGCACGACTTCCTTGTGGAATCGATTACCATCAGCGATTTTTCCGGACCGATACGACTTAGGGACCTTCAAGATAAGAGCGTACTCTTTTTAAAAGGCCGGCAACGCATCTGCGATTCCCTCCCTTGTGTTGCAGCTGTTCATGGGCGGCGGTGGTCACTTACCATCAGGTGAGCCGCATGCTCGTTTTTGCCCCCTCTCCTATAAAAAAAAAACTAATATATCCCCCGTCCGTAGCATGGAAGAAAATTTTATCCAAGTACATTGGACGTTGATTTAAGTTTATATTCATACAAAAAATGTATCTAAGTCTAGCGTCTCTCGAAGTCTTATTTCATCTACTGCGAATATTATATCCACCGGTGTGCCCATGCACGAAGGGTGGATAAAACTAAGTGAGGGGATAAATATTTTCTCCTTTCCCCGGGTATAAAATTGTCTCCTGCCCATGCTAGCCCTGCTGATGGTCTGTGAATTGTGTTATTAAAATTAATTTACTAGGCGGTAGGACTGATTTACCGAGCTCGTGCCTATTTCTGCCACCAAATAGGAATGCATGCACTACTGTGTTTCGATCTGAGGGTATAGGTACATTATAATTATAGACTGTGAAGCATTCTATCTTTGTCCTAAGAGACGATAACACTGTAGCCTTCTTCGTTTGAATTAACTGCAGCTGTCCGTGGATTGCAGTAGCCACTCTCCACACAGGTGAACTGTGTAAGTTCGTTTGTCAATTTAGTTTAGTCTAAAACAAATAAGGACATTTTCGACAATACGTTTGCAACAGGTTGAACATGCCTAAGAAAATGAAAATAATTACTAAAGTAAACAGCGAGTGTAATGCCTGACAGTCAAATATTTATATTGTTTTACATTAACACATGATATGTTGTGGTGTAATAGGTCGAATGCAGTGAAATGTCCTCATAAGTATAGACGCATGAGGCGACGCGACACCTGACTTTCCCCCGCGTTCTTAATTACCAGCAAAACGCTCCGTTATTAGACGGTCTAGCTAACGACTTCTATTCTATTTGCGTACAATGAACAGTAACATAAACAAAGATCAGGGAGGCGTTGAGCAAGCAACACTACTCTGCACTCGACTGCTAAGCCAGTACGAGTTAAATAAATTGAAACGGGGCTATTCTTTTTTTATCGACTTATGCAATATTATGATGATTTTATAAAGAAAGCTAGAAAAGGATATCCGTTTTACAATAACACTTGAAGCAATACTTAAATGTTAATAAAATTAAATACTTAGTAGATTAATATTTATTAAGATTAGATTTAAGTAATATTGTATTTATGAAAAATAAAATAAAATAATATTGTTTTTATAGTATAACGGTGACAAAAGAGCACCCAGTCCACCTGATG